GTTCAAATTGGTTTAAAATCGGCGGAGTTATTGCGTATAAATAAATTCATCCCCTATTTTCCACCCTTGGGGGTTGTTATTTTTATTAGTAAATTTAAATGGGACCAACCTTGAGGTATTACCTATACGCCGAAAAAAGAATTTTTCAAATCGGTTCATAATTGGCGGAGTAATCGCGTAACAAATATAGAAAAAAAAAAAAAAAACATACGGGTCGAATTGAGAACCTCCTCCTTTTTTTGAAGTCGGTTGAAAAGAAAGTCGTGTTAGTTACACCACTTATAACTCAAGAATGGCTGAATAGATTTGGCTGAAAATTGGCGGGGTGGTAGCTTAGAGCCAGGAGACGGACATAGGATACTTTTTATAAAATACTTTTTTTACTTTTTACCGAAAATTGCGAACGGGAACTAGGGGAAAATGGGATTGCGCGTACGAAGTCGCGGGCAGAAGCTAGTTTATGAAATAAATAAAGTGATTTTCTACATAGCAATGTTCATTTTGGAACGAGCATATACCTAGCTTTTTTTATGGGATAAGCCGGTAAACGAGCAGACGGATCACCTGATGGTAAGCAATCGGCGTTGCCCGTGGACACCTGGAACACCAGATCACCAGACGCGTTACAATTGCGTTAGTGGCAAAGTCAAAGTCAAAGCATTTATTTCAATTAAACCATAGTTTGGTGCTTTTGAAACGTCAACAAATACAAAATAAATAGTAGTCTGTCAGTCAGTCCGTCAGTGAAACTAGGTGAAGCTAGGTGCTCATTCCAAAAAGTAGATTCGAATGGAGAAGAACGAGCAAGAAACTCCATTCGTTACTCTTTTTTAAAAAAAGTATGTTCTACAATGTCTCTGATACATATTTCAATACTGTACGCATATGAAAGAACAATGCAAAGACACGCTTGACGCATTATACTAATAACTTACAAAAATTAAAAAAAAAAAATAAATAAAAATTAACTTAAAGTCCAACATGGTGCTCACATATGCATACTGACAATCCATAGAATTAGTGCTTCTATACAAGAAAAGGAAACTCTTTGTTTCAAAAGAAATGCTCGATGCCATAAGGAAACTAGATTGTCTACATTAGAATTAAAGTGTTAAATTATGTATTAAAATACCTACTATTGGAATTTAGCTACTGACTACATTTGAGTATTGTCCAGTGGAGCCGAACCAACATGCTGCCAAGCATTCTTATCTTCAAGATAATCTGTCAGTGTGTAGTAGGCTTGATTACATAATTCGCGCTTAATATATGTTTTAAATTTACTTTCACTGAGATCTAGTATGCTATTTGGTATTTATTATAGCATTTAATACCTAACCCCATAAAGGATTTCTGTACTTTGGACAGTCTGAATTGCGGTATAGCTAACTTATTTTTGCCTCTAGTATTAAAATTGTGTCTATCGCTTCTTTTTTCAAACAATTGCCTATTTTTCCTTACATACATTATATTTTCATATATATTGACAGGGCACCGTTAAAATATTTATCGTTTTAAACAATTCTCTCAGCGATTCGCAACGGCGTAAGTTATATATTGCTCGGATAGCCCGCTTTTGTAGAATAAATATTGATTCTATTTCTGCAGCTCGACCCCACAACAAAATGCCGTACGACATAATGCTGTGGAAATAACTAAAATAGACAAGCCTAGCTGTATCTACGTCCGTGAGCTGTCTAATCTGTCTAACTGCAAAAGCAGCTGAGCTCAATCTCCCCGAAAGCGCCTTTATATGCGGACCCCATTGTAGCCTATTGTCTAACGTAATGCCTAAAAATACTGTCTCGTCGACAAATTCTAACTTTTGACCGTTCAAAACAATATCACTATCGTTACTACGCACGTTTGGTAAACTGAATTTAATACATTTTGTTTTTTTCTCATTAAGTGCTAGATTATTAATGGTGAACCAATTATGCACTTGAAGAATGGAGCTGTTTACGTCGTCAAGATTATTTGTACGTCGATCTATTTTAAAAATTAATGATGAACCACGAATGAACTGAACACTGAAAAATGAACCACGAATGGTGCTTTTTGCAGATTATAATCTGCAAAAAGCACCATTCGTGGTTCATTTTTAAATATAAATGGCAAATCATTTATATAGACTAAAAAGAGAAAGGGACCCAATATTGAACCTTGAGGAACGCCCATATTCATCCCAGAGCCCTGCGAGTTAATACCGTTAACATGAACCTTTAACTGTCTCTCTTCTAAATAAGATCTCATAAGACGGAGCGCAGAGTTTCTTATCCCGTAGTGATCTAATTTCAGCAAAAGTGTCTCGTGGTCAACGCAATCAAATGCTTTTGAGAGGTCACAAAAGACACCAATAGCATCCTGTGCTTCCTCCCAAGCACCAAATATTTCCTTAATCAAAGTGACACCGGCGTCAGTTGTACAACGACCTTTAGTGAAACCGTATTGTTGTTGGTGAAAGATGGAATGTTTATTAAAATGATGAAGCATCCGAGACAGCATCAACTTTTCAAAGACTTTGCTGAGAACCGGCAAAACAGACACTGGCCTATAGTTGTTAGGTTCTTTAGTGTCACCACTTTTAAATAGTGGGATAACCTTACTATATTTCATTAGGTCAGGGAAAACACCGTCATCTATACATTTATTGAAAATCACAGCCAGATATGGCGCTACAGTTTGGATAAGTGACTTGCAAACTATTACCGATAAGCCCCAAAGATCCTCCGTAGATTTGGTCTTGATTTCTTTAAAAACTTTTATAATTTCTAGAGGATTCGTATATCGAAAACTAAAGTCGTATTGACATGATTCTATGTTGTTCTTAAGCAAAGTTACAGATAGGTTTGCTGATGACTTTAAATGTTCAGTTGTTTTAATAGGAATGTTAGTAAAAAAACTGTTCAAACTCCTGGGCTACATCTACGTTTGATGAAATCTGTCCCCTTTCGGTATTTAAATTAAATTCTGAGTTTCTTAATCTTTTCCTACCAGTCTCGTTGTGTATAACTTTCCAAGTAGTTTTTATCTTATCATCAGACGATTTTATTTTATTACTAATATAAACGTTTCGCGACTCTGCATACTATTCTAAAGGTTTTTGAATAAGATGTTACATACTGGTGAAATTGGGGGTCGTTTTTTACGGTTTCATTCCATAAAGTTCAAAAAGTCTGTCCCTACTCTTACGAATACCTACAGTTGCCCAATCGCTAAATACGAATTTGGTATGAATATCTTTATTTTTTATTGGCAAAATATTGTTAAATTCCTTGTTTAACATCTCAAAGAAATCGTTGTAGAAATTATTCGGATTACTAGTATCAAATACTTTCATACATAATTTAGTAGCTAAAGAATTGCTTAATTTCTCCAGATTTTTGAACGTGATTTGTCTAAATCTTATTTGAATTTTTAAGATAGGTAAATAAGAGCTATACGCAACCATTAGTCCACAGTGGTCGGATGGCAAGCTATTTATAATATGTTTTTCTTTGTAGTCACAATTACAGAAAATATTATCAATATAGGTGGCGGTAGAAGATGTTATCCTTGTTGGTTCTAAAAAAACATTTTTCAAATTAAATGATCCAAATAAATTTAACAATTCCATACTACTAGTACTATTTTAATAAATTAATATTAAAATCGCCACATATAATTACTGATTTGTGACTAGAACAACCTTCCTTAAAACATCCTCCATGACAGAATCAAATACTGTAAGATTCTGATAGTTAGGTGGCCTATACACACAGACAATAACATGTCTATCTAGCTCAACACAGGACAACTCAATGGTGTGTTCAACTGACAGTGCTACAATATCTTTCCTTCCTTTTGATTTAATACTATTTTTTACTAATATTAAGGACCCACCATGTAACATATGCTTTCTACTGAAATTACTAACTACATTGTAATTATCTAAATTTAAAGATATTAGTTGGTCCTCCTTAAACCAATGTTCTGATAGACAAATTACATCAAATTTAGTCTTTTCCAGAAACATCTCTAATTCAAAGACTTTTGAGGAGCAGCCCTGAATGTTAATATAAAATAGTTGTAGATTGTGCTGCCCCTGTGTATAATTGTTCTGTGCTTTTTCCTTGCCAGAATATACCTTATTATTTATATGATTTATGAAGGTATGTTCTGTTATCTTGAAATCTAGTTTAAACTTAAATTAAAATGTGCCTCTGTGCTGTTAGACACTCTAGACAACACAGATTCGTCCTTAAAACTATTTTCTGTTATACAAGGTATAACAGTGTTAATATTATATGCTATCAGCATAGCAATTTTTTGTCGACATTTTTTTGAAAGGTGTATACCTTTCTTTGTAAAAACAAAAGTACTAATAAATTTATTAGTGTCAAAAAATAAAAGTCTGTCATTGTGACATGTCATTTGGTGTAGTGTATTATTTAGTACACCTATGTATTTGTTCTTAGAATGTGGTAAAGTATTAGAATATGGGAAGGCACACAATATTATCTTCCCTATGTTCAAGTTCAACAAGGTGTCCACACCGTTCACAATGTCCCCTCTTGTTACTCCTAAGCTGTTACCTAACATTAAAACTAAAACTGAATTTTCATTTAAATCTGCATGTGTTATTTGTTTAATAATATTTTTATAACTCATGTTGTGGTAACTGTTGTTTATAAAACTTTGATTAAGATGACCGATACAGCATTTGGCCAAATCCAGAACCTAATTCTTGGCCTTTTGGGGATTGGGAATTTGAGGATTGTGAAGGATTCGGGGATTGGGGAGACTGGGAAAGGAGGCGGCTGGGGGTAATTGGGCCTCCGGTAACCTCACTAACACCACAACGCTGTGGCTGTGTCACTATGGTGTTCAGCTCGTTGGTGGTATCGCTCCGGTGGAGCCGGCCCAGCAGTGCCGAAGCATTGCGAGCCCATACTTAGTTTAGCGTCACTATAGGACCTTCAAAAGGATCCAGTTATCCTCAAGCTCTGTTCGCTCCGCAGACGTCCGTCGTCGTCGTCGCTGCCGCTGGCGCCGGACCAGTGCCGCGAGCTGCTGGCGGGCTGCGCGGCGCTGTGTGCCCAGCTGGGGCTGCGCCGCTCCTTCAGCGCCGCCGACGTCGCCAGCAGGGAGCCCTGTCTGCCACTGCGGAGGTAATACAGTGATCCAGGACTTATTATAGCCGACTAATATACGTATGTCACGAGACATACTAAATTAAGTAAAATCGCAGGTTACTCACGTGAATATACTGAGAAAAGCTCTACTAGTTTCGAACCACAGAGGGGTTTTTCCTCATGAGCAGCGTGCGCGGTCGCGGCGATGTCGCGCAGCTCACACTTACAGAACGTATATTTACATGAGTAACCCGCGATTTTACTTAATTTCGTATGTCACGAATCACGGAATCACCACCACTATTCTTCATGTGGGTGTATTATACCCGACTAAAACATTTTATATTTAGCTGGCAGTAGCATGCTCTGATTGACTTCCACCTTTAAAGAAAAACGTAGAAACGACATAACACATTTAAAGTAATTGTTAGGTAAAGCCCTTAAGCCTTTCTTTGGGCAGGGAAACCCTTGAGTGAGAGAGAGTGTCAGCCTCTTACTGACCAAACACCACCCCGGTCCTACTCCTGCCTATAGCCGGAGCCGCAGTAACCTGCAGTTGTCTGCAGCTCCATATACAAAATTAAACTGTCAAACACCGCGAGGACACCGGTGACCGCAACCTATTGTTATTTAATTGTGTCTATAATGACGGTACTCAAAGGGTTAAGGCTAATACATAATTATTTCCTAAATCTCTTTTTAAAAAACTAACACTGCCTCGTTGGTCGGGTCGGACAAAGTATTACTGGGTATTTAAAATTGTCAGTACGGCACGGAGTCTGGAATTGTGCCCGGTATATGGCAATAGGCTCACCCCCTATTACATGGGACTCATAACATAAATAGTGAAAAGTGAGTGTTACATTGTACAGTGCCATAAGTGCCGTAATGTACACCTCTACACCTTCGGGTTTTTTTTATGGAATTGGAGGCAAACGAGCAGACGGATCACCTGATGGTAAGCGATCAGCGCCTCCCATGGACACCCGCAACACCAGAGGTGTCACAAGTGCGTTGCCGGCCTTTTAAAAGGGAGTACGCTCTTTTCTTGAAGGTTTGAAGGTCGTATCGGTTCGGAAATACCGCCGACGACAGATCATTCCACAGTGTTGCTATGCGAGGCAGGAAGCTACGTGAGGAGCGCACAGTTGTGGACTGCCGACCATTTATATGATGGGGATGTATATGCTGTCGTGAGGAACTAAATTCGCATCGCGCATCAACATCTTATCTTCCCAAAATCTTCTTTGTTTCTTCTTCCTGTATCTCCTAAGCAATAACAGAAGACCAAAGGCCTCTTCTCACACGAAGAAGGTTTGACCATTAACCACCACGCTTGCTCAATGCGGGTTGGCGATTTCAAACTTATAATTAAAAATTATAAGTCCAGGTTTCCTCACGATGTCTTCCCTTCACCGTTTGTCTGTGGTGTCTAAATAATCTTAGAAAGTACATATAACTCGGAAAATGTCACATTGGTACTTGCCGTTGGTAGGTTTCGGACCTGCACATTAAAAGCTGGCGTCTTCAACCTTGGGGCCACCACGACACCACCACAAATCCAATATAAATAAATCAAAAGAATGCTTCATACATTCCAGCGCTACTTCAGAAGTGGGTCTCTCGGCAGCCCTGGAGGCTCTCACCATGAGCGCGGCATCACGCTCCTGCAGCACCTGGGTCGCTGGTATGTTAACCATAACTGTATTCTTTTCTTACTAATATTAAAAAGGTTGTCTGTATGTTTGTCAGTCAATCACTTCAAAACAGCTGAAGAGATTGGGATGTAATTTGGAACAGGGGTAGATTATGGTCTGAGATAACATAGGTCTACGCGGGCGAAGTCGTTGGTAGAAGCTTGTATGGTATGAATAAACGAGCAGACGGATCACCTGATGGTAAGCAATTGGCGTCGCCCATGGACACCTGGAACACCAGAGGCTTTACAAGTGTGTTACTGGCCTTTTGGGGTTCGGGGAGGAAGATTCGGTCTCCACTGCCCTCACCCCGGCAAACTCTAATCAAAGCAGGCGTTGTTTCACGTCGATATATGTATAAGGCTTTTTTTTGAGGGGGAAAATTATCCAATATCTTCTCCCGCCTTGTGCGAGGCGAGAGTGTCAGACTCTTACTGACTAAACACCAACCCGTTCCTACTCCTGCATTTCTAGCCGAAGACCCGGGAACCCGTTAGGCCTTCCGCGGCAGTATGGGCATCGGCCCTATTGGGTCCCATCTGTGGTGGTCTGATGGCTCTTTGAGGCGCGCGCGGAACGCTCGGCGCCGTACGCTCGGGTCTGTTTCTGGTCGGACGGGGAGCCACCCATGCTCTATGTCCGCAGGCCCGCGCTTACGGTGGCCGGAGATCGTCCCGCGATCCCCGACGCCCGGTGTGTCCTTCGCGACTGCTGGGTTGCGAGGAGGCAGCCTCACGCGTCCCGCCTCCTCCTTAGCTAGCATGACTGCTTCGCAGAAGGAGGAGACGGCATCCCAGTCCCATCCGTACCATGGTCTGAACCAAAGCCGGACGCGACAGGTCGCCATCGATATACTATAAGACTGTGATATCACTTTTGCTTCTACTAAATGGGTTACAATCCTCTGAGTCTTTAAAATGACTGCCATATTTTTAGGTAAACGGCACTGAATAATGACTATTCTGACTAGGTATAAGTACTTAATGGTTTTTTGGTTTGTATGATTTGGTTACTCACGTGAATATACTGAGAAAAGCTCTACTAGTTTCGAACCACAGAGGTTCTACTGGCCAGTAGGATGCGCGACGTCGCCGCGACCGCGCACGCTGCTCATGAGGCAGAACAGAACCCCTCTGTGGTTCGAAACTAGTAGAGCTTTTCTCAGTAAATTCACGTGAGTAACCCGCGATTTTTAGTTAATATAATATACTGTTTATACTTAAGTCGCGTATGAATTCCTAAAATATATTCCTTATTGATATATCATAAAAGTACTTATACTTCCACTACATACACATCACACTCAGACCCGGAACAAACAAAGCGCCAACCGTGATGTAGTAAATAATAAAAATAATATGTCCCCCCCCCCAGTAGGAGGGTCCCAGCTGCCGTCCCCGCAGCGGTCCCAGCTGGTGCAGGCGCCGCAACGAAGTCTGCTCACTGATAACAAAAAGGTATGGCTAATTTAATACGCCGTGAAATCTATATCGTTTCCGTCCCGAAGTAAAATGGTTCTGTCTCGGTAATACAATAGTTTTACAAACAAATAAACACAACTGGTGCACCATTGCAAGAAGCAAAGACCTTACCCCCTCCCCCTTTGCTTAGTTAAACATTTTAAATTATATCTTTTTTATATTGTAAATTTAATAATCTCTTAGATACCATAATGTCTAGTTGTTTGTCGATCTTTGCTTGTAGTTTATAATTTCAATATGAGGGTTGCCATTCGTGTAAAAAAGTAAATAATCATCATCTAGACTCCCCTACCCCCCATTTCATCCAAAATAAGCGAAACAGAGACCCCCCACTCCCCCATGGTGCTTACGTAATACTTGAATGGCCCCGAGTTACTATAGAGGTATATTATTGTCTGTAGGTCCGTCAGAGCTACATAAAACGCCGCCTACTGACCACATACCGCGCGCTCGAACGCATGTCGCAGTCGGACTTCAACCTGGACAGGCTCGAGGTGAGTTACATTCATTCATTATCGTCATCAGTCAACAAAGTCATTGAAGAGAGATAGAGAGAGAGACCGAGAGAGAGAGAGAGAGTGACCGAAGAGAGAGTCGAGAGAGAAATCTCAGTAGTAGGACGGAGTCTAGAATTGTGCCCGGTATATGGCAATAGGCTCACCCCCTAGTACGTGGGCCTCATAACATAAGAGATTTAACTGAAGCAGCAAATGACCTCAGAGGCAAACTATCCTGCCGAATCGGAGGATTAGTCAAATCCAAAGTCCGAACAATGGCATCCATTTTAGTGAACGGATTAAAAGAGCAAGAGAGCTGCCACCGAATCATGGTTGATGAGGCTCTCATGAATCACTTTGGGGCCATTGTGATGGCGGCCCGAATAACTCGGGCCAAAGAAGTTCTGCTGATTGGTGACATAAATCAACTTCCCTTCATTGACCGAGACAACCTCTTCCCCCTCATTTACAACCGCCCTACACATGTCGTGGCTATTAGCCAAGAACTTCTCTGCACTCACAGAAATCCTATGGATGTGGCATATGCTCTTAGTACTGTGTACAGTGGCATATATTCGTCCGCGTCGGGTGTGAGATCCCTTGAGTTAAAAAGCTTCTCAGGGTCGCGAATACCCAAATCTCCTCCGAACACGTTATACCTGGTACACACTCAGGTAGAAAAGGAATCCCTTAAAAACCAGGGATACGGATCGGGTGTGGGATCACGCGTACTCACAATACAGGCTCAGGGGCTTTCGTACGCGGCAGTGGTTGTTGTGAATACAGCGGAGAAGAAACAGCGGATACACGACAGTGTATCGCACGCCGTGGTAGCTATATCCCGTCACACTAACAGCTGTGTTTACTACACGAATATCAGTGACGACGCGATCAGCAAATTAATCAGACGAGCGGTGGGTGAGAGTGAGCGGGGGATCCTGGACTATAACTTGAAAATGGCTATCAGCAACAGGGACATGGCGGTAGTGGGCGCTCTTTTGGGTGGGGAGGGCTCGCTGTAAGCTTGAATTGTGATGCAAGCGTGACATTAATATATATTTGTGTATGTTTAATAATGTTAAAATGTAGTAAATATAATGTAACGTAATGTAAATTTTATCAATAAGACTGACAAAATACATTGGCACTACTGGAATCGGCTTACTGCTGCGTGAGCAGACGTCATGCATTCTTAAATGTTCTACAGTCGGTGGCGCTGTGGACTGGGTCGCTCCGTTCCCTACGAAATGGTTGATCGGACCGATTGCTGGCCCTCACGTCATGCTCGTGAACGGGCGGCTTCTGCTGGAGCAGGTCGGCTCGCTCATCGCGCGTGTGGGCCGATCCAGTAAGGTTAATGTAAATGTAATAAAACATGTATTGTGTATATATAGATATTAGACACAACCTTCTTTGTGGAAAAAAATGTGGTTAATGTAGCACGTAAGATTTTTGTAACAATTAATTTTGACTGTAAAATAAAAGAAAATGTAATTGAATGACAAGGGTACGGACAAGAGTCCGTGGAGAATAAGAAATGTAATACTAAAAAAAAAAAAAACATAAATAGTAAAAAGTGGGTGTTTCATAGTGAAATAAGTCAGAAATGATGAGTACTCCACGCCCTTAACGGATCTAGCACGACTTTTCCTGTAACCCTGTATATAACTATGCGCCCTGCCCCCAGGCTGCAGCGGCCCTGGCGTCCGGCGGCGTCAGTCTGCCTGTACCCCCACACAAACACACTCGGATTGTACATCCTGGTACGTAGCTTCAAATATATTATTAATTCTTTTATTATTTACAGGTGAAAGAAGGCTTAGCGTTAAAACTGCTTGAAACTGTCAAAGTTCTTTGATAAAAATGGCATTGAATTAGGGATGAGTACGGTATCTTGATAATATGATTTTTTAGGATAAGCCGGTAAACGAGACCGATCACCTGATGGTAAGCAATCGGCGTCACCCATGGTTAACTGGAACACTAGAGGCGCGACAAATGCGTTACCGGCCTTTCGGGGATTAGGAATTTGAGTATTGTTGGGGATTCAGGGATTGAGGATATTAGGTAAGGGGGAGGGGGGAATGATTGGACCTCCTTACTTACATTGACGATGAAACACAACACAATCATGTATAATTAATTAAACTGTCAAACACCAAGCGGTCACCGGTGACCGCAACCTATTGTTCTTTAATTGTGTCTGTAATGACGGTACTCGACGAGTTAATATAAAGTGTCTTAAGTTTTAATCGGTAACCAAATTCATACGATGGTGACAATACGGTCTCGGGTTCAACTCCCGAATCACACAAATTACTATTTCAAGATAAGGAAGCCCTCAGCTGATATAGATGACACTTAACCTAAAAGTACAAGAGATTAGGTTAGATGCTCTCTCACGCTAAGTATGTAACTCTTAGTTGAGAGATAATTTAAGGGTTGGTTGGAGGAAACGGCCAATAGTGACTTAGATGTTATTATTATTATTATGCTAGCCTTAACATACCTTCTCATCCGCAGAAGCAGCAGCTTTAGCTCTGACAGCGGCGGACCTCGAGCGCGAGCGAGGACGGCCACTGTCCAAGTACGAGCGGAACATGATGATATTCAACTGGTTACACACGCTGGACGAACCCGCGCCATTCTAGCCTGGTGCAAAGAGACCAGGTCTGACACACCCACCTGTATGCTATTACCAAGTATTTCGATGTCCACTTGTCATTGCCCAGAGTCTAACTCCCACAATCCACTATTTATTTTACCTGACTACTGTAACCCGGGTCTGAAGTACCCACCTACACTCTACTACCCATTGTCCAAAGTCCACTACCCATTGTCCAAAGCTCACTAGACATTGTCCAAAGCTCACTACACATTGTCCAAAGCTCACTACACATTGTCCAAAGTCCTCTACACATTGCCCAAAGTCCACTACACATTGTCCAAAGTCCACTACACATTGTCCAAAGTCCACTACACATTGCCCAAAGTCCACTACACATTGCCCAAAGTCCATTACACATTGTCCAAAGTCCACTACACATTGTCCAAAGTCCACTACACATTGTCCAAAGTCCACTACACATTGTCCAAAGTCCACTACACATTGCCCAAAGTCCACTACACATTGTCCAAAGTCCACTACACATTGTCCAAAGTCCACTACACATTGCCCAAAGTCCACTACACATTGCCCAAAGTCCACTACACATTGTCCAAAGTCCACTACACATTGTCCAAAGTCCACTACACATTGTCCAAAGTCCACTACACATTGCCCAAAGTCCACTACACATTGTCCAAAGTCCACTACACATTGCCCAAAGTCCACTACACATTGTCCAAAGTCCACTACACATTGTCCAAAGTCCACTACACATTGTCCAAAGTCCACTACACATTGCCCAAAGTCCACTACACATTGTCCAAAGTCCACTACACATTGTCCAAAGTCCATTACACATTGTCCAAAGTCCACTACACATTGCCCAAAGTCCACTACACATTGTCCAAAGTCCACTACACATTGTCCAAAGTCCACTACACATTGCCCAAAGTCCACTACACATTGTCCAAAGTCCACTACACATTGCCCAAAGTCCATTACACATTGTCCAAAGTCCACTACACATTGCCCAAAGTCCACTACACATTGTCATTGCGAGATAGTGGTCAAACGTCGGCCCATCAAATATATATAAAAAAAATGTCGTCCTTCGATTAGGATAAACGACTCTTCCGAAATGAAGATTAATGCCATAGAAAATAATATTGTTTTAGTGGTTACATGATCCACTAATCACAGTCACCCCTTTCCCCCTACCCCCTTCCCCCAATTCCCACTCACCATACAAATAACTAAAGACAATAGTCACTATGATACACAGCGCTATTTAAAATATACATTGAACTATTAAATGTTAATGTATATTTCAAATAGTTCTGTTATTATTACTTATAGATATAGCTCGTTATTGAACATTTTGAAACATACCATATTCAGATAAATGTGAAAATGGAATAAATTACTAAAATATATGTGTATATGTACTTAGAATTAATATATAGTTCGTTTGGGATCGGATTTTCGATACATTATCTATACATGTGTTGTTTAATGTTTACTAGAATCTGTTGAACAACTGCATAAAAAGTATATATAGAAAAGCGATTGAATTACTAGAAAAACAGTTAATTTATGCGTAGTTTTACATAAATCTCAAAACTAGCTTCTGCCGCGGCTTCGCCTGCATCCCCGTGTGATAAAAAGCAGCCTATGTGTTATTACAAACCATAATCTAACCCTGTTCCAAATTTCACCCCTATCCCGTCAGCCGTTTTTATGTGATTGAACAACATACATACAGACAGACAAACTCACTCACATTTTACTAACATTAAGTACTAGCGACCCGCCCCGGCTTCACATGGGTGCAATATGCATGTATTATACATAATAAACTTTCCTTAAGAATCACTCTATCTATTAAAAAAACCGCATCAAAATCCGTTGCGTAGTTTCAAAGATCTAAGCATACATAGGGACAGACAGACGCAGATAGCGACTTTGTTTTATACTATGTAGTGATAAATGCGAAAATTTTTCTGTATTTTTGTTAATCAATCAAATCAAAACGACTTAACAGATCGGGATGATATGTGAAACAGGGGTACATTATGGTCTGTAATAACATATAGGCTACTTTTTATACCACGGAAACGCGGGCTAAGTCGCTGGCAGACGCTAGTAACTCATATATTAACGTATCGAAATTCCGATACCAAGATATACCATATAAGAGCCACTATGTATGAGTTAGCATGTATGCTATTTAGTCAAACGTTACATAGACGCGGATCGTTCACCAGGACTTGTTATAATGCAATTACATTAATAATTCCTCGAACGGGTAGGCAGAGATCTATATATTTAGTAGTATATACTGTTTTTTCCAATTATACGCCGTGAAATTTATGTAGTGGGCGTCCCGCGGCAAAACAACTTGCCTTATGGAGTACTTTCGATGTATAAAGTAAACACAAAAATATAAAGACGAAATATATAGAAGTACGTCCATGAGACACTAGACGTACATCTGTCCGAGCGTACGGCGCGTCGCGTTCCGCGCGCGCCTCAAAGAGCCATCAGACCACCACAGATGGGGCCCAACAGGGCCGATGCCGATTCGGAGTCGCGGAGAACCTAACGGGTAACCGGGGCTCCGGCTCGACGTGCAGCAGTAGGAACGGGGTGGTTTCTAGTCAGTAAGAGTCTGACACTCCCTCCCGCCTCACCCAGGCGGGAGCAGTCATTCGATGATTTTCCCCCCTTAAAAAAAAGACGTACATTTGTAGTCACTACTCGCATCGCACGTGTCACCCGACGAGAAATACCTCTTCGACAATGACACGGCGTGATGTTTAGATAATGTACTATGAGTTCGTATGCGCTTCCAAAGTTTGCTTCTTGCAATGGTTCACCAGTTGTTTTTATTTGTTTGTAGAGGTATAACTATTGTATTACCGAGACAGAACCATTTTACTTCGGGACGAAAACGATATTAACACGGTGTATTGGAACAGAAAGCAATCATTAAACTGTTTGGTAATGGCAGACTACCGCTACTGTTCCCACGGGTGTCGTGTACCCGACTCAGAGATGGGAAAACAGATTTTGTAATATATTTCAGTAATTCTACGGAGTGTAAAATTGTGCCCGGTATATGGCAATAGGCTCACCCCCTATTACATGGGATTCATAAAATAGATAGTGAAAAGTGGGTGTTACATTATATATATACAGCTCTGTCTACCCTGTCGATGTATAAATAATATATGACATGTGTGTATGTATGTTAATATCACTATATTTAATAGTATGTCGGTGTAAATGTAAGGAAAATAAATATAAAATTAAACTTAAATACCATTGCTTAAAGTCAAAATTTGATTAAAATATGGTCAGTTATATTATCCGGCGAATAATTGTTCAATACATACTGCGGTATATGAATTTTGAAGTCAGAAAAATATACTCGGGAGCAATAGCACGGAGCTACTAGCATTTTTTCATTTTATCGAACCCGCTAAGGAGTGGAATTCCTTGCCAGAGTCTGTGTTCCCTGAAGTATATAACCTGGGTGTCTTCAAGGCCCGAGTGAATAGGTTGCTTATGGGTCGACGTGCTCCATCGTAGACCGCATCATCGTGCACCACCAGGCGAGATAGTGGACAAACGTCGCCCCATCAAAATATATAAAAAAAACCCTCTATAATAGTAAACACAATTCTTTTATAAACTACTTTTAAAAGAACCGACTTGAACACCCTCTTTTTTAAAAAGTAGGTTATTTTTTTATATGTTACATATCTTTTTCTCCACGGGCTCTTGTCCGTACCCTTGTCATTCAATTACATTTTCTTTTATTTTACAATCAAAATTAATTGTTACAAAATCTTACGTGCTACATTAACCACTTTTTTTAAGTAGGTTAATTAATATACTAAAACCTTCTCCTAAGTGTAACAAACACTTTTCTGAAACTGCATCAAAATCGGTTCAGCCAATCTTGTCACGCAGAGCAATGTCCTTCGGCACATTTATTCAGACACTGATATAGACTAACATATGAAAACTGAGCAGTTCTGAAAGTATAACCTCCTTTTTTGAAGTCGGTTAAAAATGCTAGTGGATCCGTCTCCTTGATCCCAAGTGCAGTATCGCGATACTAACGAAATGAAAAAAATCTACTTCCTCAAATGCGTTTTATGTAAGATAAAAATATATAAAAAACTCATTGTACATAATTAAAGTTTGTATGGCGAATTGAATTTATAAATATTTTACATATCCATTAAAATTATTGTTTTGGATCGCAGATGGCAGCACTATCGGTTTTGGGTGATATGATGATACGTAACTTAAATTGTATTTTTTTCTTTTCGAATGACTTTATGTCAATTATGTTTAAGTTTAAATGATTAAGTTCAGACATCTAAGCATTTATATATTTTGAATCAAATAAATTCTATAATTCTATGCAAATACATATAAATAAATAACTATGTCTGTCTGTCTGTCTCAGTCTTTTAGCAAAGGTTTTCTCCAAGCATTACGGTGCAGGTTTGAAACCTACCAACGACAAGTATCAATGTGACTTTTTCCGAGTTATATGTACTTTCTAAGATTATCTAGACACCACTGACAAACGGTGAAGGAAAACATCGTGAGGAAACCTGGGCTTATAATTTCTAATTATAAGTTTGTAATCGCCAACCCGCATTGAGCAAGCGTGGTGGTCAGTGGTCAAACCTGAGCAAACAGACAAACAGACATATTTCAATATACCAGTATTAGATATTAAAACAAGATTTTACAAATAAGTTGCAGTTTTTAAAGTTCCTACTAAAAAAATATTAATTTTACACACACAGACCAGTGGCTTATTGTACTGTGATTATTAATTTTACTAATTGAGTCTCATTTTTGTATTATTATTAGTTATAAGATATTATGCTCTTAATTTTCTTTATTTCTGCGATAAGACACTCATATGTTGATATACTCAAACGCCACTCAAATTTAAGTCGCGCTTAACTATAGTTCTGTCTACAAATTCGGTACGATACTCAAGTACCTACAACTTAA